TGCCGGGCCTCGCCATCATCCTTAGCTGCCGGCTGGCTAGAACCGGCCATTCCCCGCTCTGCTCTGCATCGTGCGAAAGAAGGTTAAAAAACACATGTTGCAAGCGTATGTTTCAAGTGTTTCAGATGTTTTAGAGGTATTGCAAGTGTTTTAGATGGATGTTAGAAAAATATATCAGGATGTTACATATGTTACAATGGTTGTACACGTACGTTGCAAGCGTATGTTCCAATGTCTCATCTGTGTTTTCAGACGTATGTTGTAAAGTGTGTTCGTCTAGATGTTGCATATGTTTCATACATATGTTGCAAGTGTTTTATCTAGATGTTTGTATGTTTGTAATGGTTTTCAAACGTTTTTCAGGTGCTTTTTCTAATTTTTTCACAAGCATGTTTCAAGTGTTTTGTCTATGTTTAGGTTGCAAGTGTTGCATCTATATATTTCAAAAGTAGATCGGGTGTTGCACATGGGATGCGTGTGGGAAGCGGGAGGTGCCGCAAGCGGTCTCCGCGCGCAGTCTGGCGGCGCGGGCTCCGCGTGGGCGTGCGACACACAGGCGGGGGTGCGGGACGGAGGCATGCTAGCGCGAGCACAGACGTGGAGTGCAGCGCGGGCGTCCTTCGGACGTCGGGCGCTAGCACTACCGCAATAATATACTTTCCTGTAGAATTTGAGGTTGAACAACATTTGTACATGGAGAAACAACAAAAAGAAATTCAGCATGCTATTAGGTAGGGTATACCGTGTACTACTCGTATGGATCCACAACCCAACGCCAATTCACTAACTGATTTTATCTTTTTTTTCCCTCACAGCATGAAATTTTATTCAAGCTCAAAGTTTGCATGAACATCGATGATTGCATCATCTATATCCATTCATAATTTTTTTTATAGAATTTCCCATGCACTTTTGTATGTGAATTCCCTTGTAACGGGAGTACGACCCAAGGGGTGTGAGGTTGTCTCTACCGGTGTAGTTTCGTGTCCAAAACACCCGATATCAAGACATTAGGGGTTTGTGATTTTTTTTTCTCCTGGACACAAAGGTGGGGAAAGTGACGAGCATTATTGTGTGTCCCTATAGTAGCTTCATGTAATGCATAACTTTCTTAAAAATTTGGAAAGTTTGCCATATTCTGCAATTTCAGATGTATTATAATGTACTTTCTAGATTTTTTTTTATTCTGATGATATCTGTATAAACCATTCGTTGTTAAGAATCTGACGTGATACTCATTCAACCAAAATTTGAAAAGGCATAAAAAGAAGCAAGGAAAGTGGCAACTTAAACAATAAATAGTATTCCTTTTGTTAGACGAGAAACAACCATGCTTCGTGAAGATTATCATTGCCGCTATCTCCAGCATACAACGTGCCTTCTTCAAAATTGGCTATCGCCCCCCTTTTATTCTTCAATATATGGTTTTAAAAAACAACCTGCCGATAAGAATATAATCTTTTTTTATTAAACCACATGTTTACCAACCAAATAGACCAAAGAATCACACTCACCACCTCATATGTCACTTTACCTTTATTCCAATTTAGATTTTTTCAACTTTGACCAAATATTTTGAGAACATGTTAATGTCTACTATGTTTAAACGAAATTTATTGAAATTAATTTCATGTTGTACATGTCAATGCATTTTTCTTATAACTTTAGTGAAAAATAGAAGGATTTGACTTAGATTAGAATAAAGCAAAAATTGCCTATAATTTGAAACGACAGGAGAGTCCATAAATTTGCATTATAACACAACCACCTAAATCAAACATAACAGTGTCTCTGAGACAAAAAAAATTATGGTTCTTATTGGTTCAGTTTTTTTTCACGAACATGCTTGAGCACATGTTTCATTCAGAGAGAGAGAGAGAGAGTTACACCCAACAATGATCCATTTTTTTCGAAGAGCCACCGACAAGAATATGCCGGGCATATATTAATAGAGAAGAAGCATTGTACAGAAGAAAACAAAAAAACAAAAAAAAAAACAACCTCACCAAGGAGGCAACAGCACAAACTACCGCCGCAAGAAACACGAATCCAACAATCCTCAGAAGCAGCAGCCGTCGAACGTCACATTGCACGCCGCAGGGGACAAGCGATGTAAACTAGAAGAGGGAGTAGATTTCCTTGGCGATGCCTCCAAGGAGGAGAACGACATCCAAAGGTGCCGTCAACGCCGAATGGGGAACCAAGGTTTTTCAACCTTACTCCTAGAGGGTAATCGAGGCCTCACGACAATGCCTCCAACGAGGGACGTGCCGCCAAAGGTGTCACCATTGTCGGCCAAAGCCAAGGGCCTAGCAGGGCCTTCGCCCGACAACCCCGGCACCCAAACTCAAATCAGCCACATCGTGGATGACCACAACCAACCGCCGTCAGTAGGAGATCGCTGCGACACCGACAAGGTCATTGGCATGCGTGACCTGTTGCCGTCACGCCAACCAACAAGAGCCGCCTCCATCCTACATGACACCGCCCACCGTGGAAACCCACATCTTGTTCCTGCAGATGCCAAGAGCGCCGCCAACACCAATGCAAAAAGACGCGCCACAAGCAAGTAGAGAAACAACGAGCATCCCCACAAGAGCCGCAACCTTTAGTCTTCAACGAGCCGCCATCTACTAGTTGTCGCAAAGACGGCGAGCCGGCCACTGGCAAGCGTGGCCGGTCACAACCGCGCCGGTCAACAAACCGCTGCCAACTAATAGACACCATCCCACTAAAGATCGCTTCGGAGGGAAGCATGCCGCGCCCCTATCCACTTGTGCCAAGCGTCGCAACCAAACCCTTCCACTGTACTCCACCGATTGCAGCAGTTATGCAATCAGCCTGTTCGCTGGTTGGTTTCTGAGCTGATTTGAGCTGGCTGGAGCTGGTTTGTTGTAAGAGAAAAACACCGTTGGCTGGTTGAACACCATTGTACCTCACCAAACATAGGAGCCACCGCAACCCCGCCGAAACTGAACGTCGCAAAGCAAGACCAGTCGCCGTGGCCATAGCCGCGTTGAGCCGCCGCAGGTCAGTTGCCGCTGCTGCAGCAAAGATGTTGCAGCGCCGGTCGATAACCGTTGTCACCATGACTGACGCCGGCCACCACGGGATGCTCAAGGATGGAATGAGGCACCTTTGCGGAGCAGCCCCTCGCAGAACTGCACCACCTCCGCCTCTGGGCCGGGCGCCCGGGCCGCTGCCGCCTGAGCAGCAGCAGAACCACCCGCCCATCCTTCCAACCACGGTCGCTGCCGCCGCCGTCGCCGAGCTCGCCGAGAGCCAGCACCGCGCAGTTGCACAGCAGCGCGGGCACGGGCCCCTGGCCGGCCACCGGCCGCCGCCTGATCCCTGCAGACGTGCACGAGCCGATCCGGCTGGCCGCCGCCGCCCCAGGCTCGGGCAGGAGCCCCGACGCTCCCCACCTTCGCCGGATCTGGCCGCGGGCCCCAGCATCGCGTCTCTGCCGCGCCGCCACCGCGCCCCGCCCACTCCACGCCGTGCTGGAGCCCGCAACGCCGGCGAGCACCAACGCCACCGCGGCGCCGGCCGTAGATTCATGGCGTGGGGCGCCGGTTCCGCGCCGCCGCACAGCTCCACGCACAGCAGTCAGGCGCTGAGGTCGATCTACCCTCAGCCGGATCCGGCCGCCGGGGCCGCGGATCCGTGAGCCGGCCGCTGGAGCAGCCACCACCGCCGCCGGAGCAGCCACCACCATCACCGGGCACCGGGAGGAGAGAAGGAGAGAAAGGTTGGAGGATGGAGGAAGGCCCCGCCGCCACCATCATCGCGGCTGCGCGGCCTCTAGCAGCACGCTCCGGCGGCGGCAAGGAGTCACGGGGAGGGAGGGAGGAGGGGTTGGTGGAGGCGGCGGCGCCGCCCGTGTCGCTCAGGCGGAGCGACGCGGGGGCCGGGTTGGGTTTCGATGACCAGCAAAGTGTGCGGGAGTAGAGTCCCAACAATGATCCATGATCCTTGTAAATTATATTGAGCAAGTCTAGGTACAACTTCAAGTACTAATGTGTATATAATTTGAGAAAGTATGACTTTTCTTAAATTCTAATACACCCTACATCATTAGAAAAGAATACTTGACAATATATTGTTGGTGCAATACAATTAGGAAACAGAAGTCTCAGTGGGTTTCAAAATCAGATAGGAGAAATTGGAGAAAGAAACTCTGTTTCCAAATCCAGAACAAACAATTCATAGCCACATCTGAGGCAAATTTACAAGGAGCTGCAAACGAAACTCGAATATTCAAAGAGATTGAAGGGATAGTGTGTGGTGGCTGACTTGCCATTGAACTACTAATCTGAATCTAACCTGAAACTATTCGAATCTACCGAATCCAGCAGCAGTGGCAGTTTTATCACGTCCTGCACGTCATCGGGCAGCTTTCGCATGATGGATACCAAGAACTCCATGAAGGAAACGGTGTCTAGAATTGCCTTGGGGCCTTCCCTGCTGTCTTTATCACGGATAGGTTTCAGGGCCTCCATTATCAGCCTAATCGTTTGGCTGTGGCTTGTCGTATACGATCGTAAATTTCTAGCCGGAACAGTATTTTTCTCTCACACAAACCAGCCAGCAGTACTACTTCACGAACCAGCAACGATACGAACCAGGCAACCGAACAGGCTGTATATCTTTTGCATTTGCATTGTGGCGGCGCCTCTCCACGTCTTGGCTGAGCCCAAGGATGCTCTGCGGCGACACGAGCGTTGGCTTGTAGCCCCAGCATAACGCACAGTGCGAATCATCCGGCACCAGGTCACACGGCAGCTTTGCATCGAGCACCTTCCGGCCAGTAGCGAGCTGGTACAGGCAGAGCATGTTGTTGGCGACGGTGAGGCCCAGGATGTGCACGGCGAGCACACCGCCGCAGTCCCAAACGCCGGCGATTGAGCAATCATACGTGTCTCCATTGGAGTCGTGGTAATAGACGCTGCCCTGCAACTCGATGACGCACCGACACTCCCACTGCCCACTGGCGGCGGTCAGCCGTGAGAAGCCACAGGCCGGCTCTGTGGTGGTGCCCGGTTCGTCGCCAGGCACAGGCGACCCTGCATCTCCATGAGCCTGGACCTTACATGCCGTGGATGGCCCCGATCGCGCTTGCCGGGCAGGCCAATGGTTGTGACAGTCTCGTCGTCGACGTCGAAAGCTAGGATCACTGACCTGTCGACGTCGAGGAGGTAGACCGTGCCATCCATGTAGAGTGACTCCTGGCTCTGGATTGCTCCGTCTATCCCCGGCGGCGATGATACGGCCGGTCTTAATCTTGGTTGCCCGCCGACGAGTGCGTACACTTGCAGCGAGTGCTTCCAATGCGTGTAGTCCATGTGGAACAAAAGAAGCTTGTACGTTTCACTCCGGCGGCCGTAACCCAGCCCCAGCACTAGATAGTTAACGTTACCGCCCTCCATGGACGTATCTGCAGGGACGGTGAACTCCCGCACGACGTCGGCGACGGCCGGGTTCCAGAGGACGCACCTGCCCAAGGGGGAGTAGTCGTTGGTGGCAAGGAGCACAACGCCGTTGCACGTGTTGACGCACCTGTAGCCGAGGTAGCTGTCTCCGAAGATCGCACGCATGGGAGCGTTGCTGCTGCTGATCCCGTCGCCGGCGCCGGCGACGTGGAAGCCGTGGAACTCGCTGACCCGGCCCCGGTATTGTTTGTACCGCAACGACGCGGTCGCGATGTACGCGATGTGCGGGCGGGGAAGCGGCGCGCCGAGGCTACAGTGGAGGCTCCGGAACTCCGGGCTGCGGATCAGATCGCGGTGGCGCTTCGAGAGCGCCATGCATCCGATCGCGGTGCGGGCCGGCAGGTAGGCGAGGATGTTGCCGATGACGTCGTCGCACAGGCATGCGCCTGACGCGCCATCGACAGCTGACCTCTTCTTCCTCGATGAGGTTGATGCGCTCGACGCCGCCCTCCCCCGATCCTCCTCAACGATCTCGGCATCCCCTGCCTTCTTCTCCATCTACTAGTGTCGTGTGGATTTGTGGTTTGGGTAGACCTACCTATCTTAAATGCCCTCTTTATTATCTGAGGATTTGCTAAGTATAGCACGGTACGGTTTTATGCTTCCGATTTTGAAGTAACAGAATCAAATTGGAGGGCAAAATTTGCATCAATGACCTACAATGCTCGACGAGTTTGAGGCATGCCGCACTGTTTTTTTTTTAAATAAAATGCTCGCCGCAAGACTACTCCGTACTATAGTTGGGCTTCATATTCTTCTGCTTTATGATCAGACGATCATGTAGGCTCGTAGAGGGATTCTAAAAAAAAGTATGCTCGTAGGACGATCATACAATGAGCCTGTTCGCTGATTGGTTTCTGGACTGATAAGCTCGATTGGTGCTGGTTTGTTATGAGAAAAAACATTGTTGGTTGGCTGATAAGCTCTGGCTAAAGCCAACAAGCGATCATATTGAATACGTATTAATTAATTGAGATTTAAGAAAGCCATAAAAATATTCGAAGTGAGCATCCAAATTAAATTCGGTAATACTTCGTGTAGGGCGTCCTTCCATCTAGACGCTCCTGTTGGTGGGCCATGACGCCAGCCCAACGACCCCCTCCTATCCTATCATATCTGCTCGTCCACTCGCTTCTCTATAAGCCTCTCCAGTCACGTAGTTTCTCAAAAAATCACCGCAACGTTGCGACCGTGCTTTGTCGCGCGCGCCTCGGTGTTCTCCACGGCGCCCGCCGGCTGGCATCGCTGCGGTCACTCGTCTTCCTCCTGGACCTTGCATCGTCCTCGCCTTGGTCTGCTGCTTGATGTGGCTGCCTCTCCAGCCGCTTCCTCCGTCCGCCACCCCATGGTACAGCCTTGCGGCCGGTGGCATGTAGTAGATGAACTCCTCTGCCACAGGCGTACGCAGCCGTGCGACCCTCCTATTTGTTATGGCGCCATGCTGTGCCGGCTGCCTTGATGCACCTCCGGCCCTCTCCTCGCGTAGACGTCCTTTGCGTCGCTCGTGATGGCTGGCCTGCTCGTGGATGATCTTGGACGACAGTGACATGCATGGTGGCTTGGCACGGCCGGGACAACAGCGGAAGCGGGCGGTTCCCGTGTGCGAGAGGGCGACGCGTCCGTGCGACGCGGGCGCGGGAAACGAAGGAGGCGAAAACGAAGAGACGCGCGACACAAGCTAGCGTGGGCTTCCGGACATGCGCGTCCGTCCGGACGCTAGCATCTCCAAATTATAATTGCAACGTTAACAGATTCATCAGAAAATTTTTCTGGTTCTAGAAAAAAAGAATGTTCAAACTCCAAATGTTTTAGGTTCACGAAAAAACATGTAGCCTTATTTTTGTGCAGGTGATGGTTTTAGGGCATGTCAGATTTAGGGATCAGGATGTTGGGGAATTAAGCATGCACTCGTCTTAGAAGAGATCCTAGAGAAGCGATAGAGTGGTCAACGAGAAGGCTAACGCTTGGATGGATGGGGATGCGGTGCACGACACCTACCATGGGTACGGTGGAAGAGGGGCAGTGGACAATGGTTGAGCCAGGTAAAGGCCAGCGAGGCATGGGAACGAGCGGTCGATATCGAGTTAGTGTGGCGTGAGTGTGGTGTGTGTGTTGGGTTGGGTAGATCATCTAGGTCCAAATAAACGGGCTCGATCCACTCCGCGTCTTCACCTAGCAATCTAGCATTGCCACATCGAGTCCTCCTTGGTTTAGGTCTTGACCAATGGATCCCATACAAGGGTAGCGCCCACATTCTAGCCTCTAATGCTTCATCTTCGTGTTCCCTCCTTTCCTCCCCCTCCCCTTTCTCATTGCTCCAATCTAGTGTGGAGCCACCTCACCATCATCAATCCCACCCCGTTGTCTTCTTTTTCCTCCACCTTAAGGCCATGACGAGGTCGAAGGTAGATGCCTGCTTTGTCGGTGAGTTTCCCACCCTGGCAAGACTGAGGTGTGGGTTTGACCACCACCAAACATTTCTCAAAACAAAGCACCTTTCACCTGCGTCTTACTTTGTCACCACTAGTAGAGTCTTGCCACTATGTGTGCTCTTCCTTGGCAATTGTACGGAGACGGTCACACGTGCTTTGCCATAGCGACCTCTCACAACAACTAGATGGGGACACCCGTGTTTTCGGCCTGCTCAGAACTGAAGGAGTGAGAGCACGAATATGGAGCGCCAGAGGCTGGTATGTTGGCTGCTAAGTGCGCACCCACTTGTCAAGAGCTAAGCCACAAAGATCTACCTTGGCATGCGGCATCGGGACATGCAGTGGCAGAGCATGGCATCAAACAAAGAAGGGGCTAGTTCAAGTTGCTTCTCACTTACCCTACCTAGGCGCTGTTCTTCTCTTTTACTCTGGCGCTTGGGTACTGGCCACATACAGGAGTAGGAGGTGTTGCAGCTCTGAGCAAGGGGGGCTAGAGCCCAACTTCGAATCCACTATGCTCCGCCACTGGGGACATGGAGAAGGTTGAGGCCCGTTTGGATTTGGATAGCATCATATGACAAGTTGGAGACTTGGATGACACCCAAAACAAATTTTTGATTTCTGAACTTGAATGTCATCCTGGATAAATTCGAGGACTCGAAAATAGATTTTAAGGGTTTTGAGTGCAAGCATGATACCAAAGACAAGTTCAATGACCTTTCAATATGTTAGAGCATCTCCAAGAGTACCCTATATCCCTTCTTAATTCTTGGTTTTTAGCAAGATGAAAAAAAACCTATCTCCAACAACTTGTAATCTATGCTCCTAAAATTTACGTACTTGGGAAACGACACTTGTCCCTGTCTTGCTGGAGCTTGCCAACGACACTGCTCGATGCCTCGAGCGTCGGCCTGCAACCCCAGCACAAAGCGTAGTCTGAATTTGATGACTCTGAACACTCTGGGGTCACGACTCACGACGCTGTCCAAATTTGCCCTGAACATCTTGCCGGTGGTGATATGATACAGAAAGAGCTTGTCCAAATCGCCTATGTAGTCCTTGTAGTATAGGACCAGCACGCCACCGCAGTCCCAAACGCCCATGACTGAGTCAGGATAGATGCGGCCCTCCGAAAAACAAAGGCCGCCGATGAGACACCATCGGTCGCACTGGTGATCTACCGAGAGCAGCCAGAGAGCACAGCCACCGCCGTAGTTCGTCAGCACGCATGGACGACCGGACAACTCCATGAGCCCGGACGTGTACCTATGTGGATCGCGCGCGATCGGCAAGTCGATGGAGGTGACCGTCTCATCATCGACGTCAAAAGCAAGGATTGCTGCTGGATTTGCATTGCTGTGGCTGAGGAGGAGGTAAATTTTGCCGCCCATGTAAAGCGATCGCTGGCTGATTATTTCTCCGTCCCGTACAGCCGGTAGCTCTGTCTCTGCTGCCGGCTTCCCAAGGTCAGGGAGCGCGTAGGTAACCAGCGAATATTCATCAGCAGTGCCATGGTTGCGCCCGGCGGCGGCGCGGTGGTCTCCACGAGTTGCTGCTTTCTTCTTGCGGCGGCGGGACAGGAGTATAAGCCTGTAGGTTTTACTCCTCTGGCCTTAACCCAAGCCGAGCGCGCGGTAATCTTTTACTACGTGCGTTGAAGCAACTGCATCTGGGACGGAGACGGATACCTCCTCCACGACGTCCGCGACGGCCGGGTTCCAGAGGAAGCACCTGCACCGGGCAGAGCCCTTGTCACCGGCGGCGGCAAGGAGCAGGACGCCGTTGCATGTGTTGACGTATTCCATGCCGAGGTACCTCCGTCCCGTGAGCGCACATCGGGGCGATGACGTTGCCGTTGAACCCATCGCCGGCGACGTGGAATCCCTGGAACACGCTGGCGGGCACCTCGGCATCGTCGGGCTCGTCCTGCGCTCGCCTCCGCCTTACTTGCGCTGTCACGAGGTACGCGATGTGCGGGCGAGGCAGCGGCGGGGCGAGCCGGCGGTGGAGGCGTCGGAACTCGGGGCTGCGGATCAGCCGGCGGTGCCGCCTCGAGAGCGCCGTCGACGCCACCGCGGTGCACGCCGGGACGCGGGCGAGGATGTTGCCCACGACGTCGTCGCACAGGCCAGCGCCTGATGGCGCGCCATCGTTGGTCCCTCCCTTCCTCTTCTTCGCTTCTGGCGTGCCCGCCGCCGCCTTCTCTTGCTCCTCGGTCTCGCCCTCCCCTGCCCTCTTGGCCTCTTCCCCATCGTATCGTATCGTATCCGGAACTCGCGCGTTCGTTGCTGTTTATATTCCGTGACACCAACTGTCTTCGTCATTTTATCTCAAATCTAAAAAAAAAAACTGTCATCGTCATTGGAAAGATTTACCTTTTGTGATTAAAAAAAGCTTTTTCAAGGGTTCACCAATGCACCAGCATCTTTTATTAGTTTTGTGCGAACGGGAATAGTCTACGTGGGAAGGGGAATAGGAGTTTATAGAGGGTAACTCCCGCTAATCAATTCCGTGAGGAGGGGTGGTAATTGAGTGAGAATACAATTATACTCTCAATGAAAAATAGATATATCCTAACCGTCCATCATGACTTATCATATAATTTCGCACTCAAAAACCCAACACCAATAACTCCCGCTCTTATTTTCTTTCACCAACCAAACAAGAGATTATGACTAAGGTCCTGTTTGGCACGGCTCTACTTCACTAGTGAAGCCGTTTTGAGGGGCTTTAGCTTCATGAACAGCTCCATCAGTGGAGCTGAAACCGTTTTGGTAAATCGTTTGGCAAAGCAACTCCACATATAGAGTTCCTTAGAACATGCTCTCTCAGAATGCCACGTAGGATGAGGTGAAGTCGAGTGAAACCACTATTTTTAGCTCCATCCTACCTCAAACCTATGTGAGAGCACGATTTAAGGGGCTTCCTGGATGAAGCCGTTTTGTTTTACCCCGTTTGACACAAAACAGCTCCAAACGGCTACTAAAGCCGGTGAAGAAGCTCTGCCAAACAGGGCCTAAAAGTCAAATTCTCACCATAACTCACTCCAATTCCCACTACCAATTC